GTAAGGAAAATGCTCAACTTCAACAAACACTGAAATGAAGAGACTCGGAGAACCACAGAGAAAAGTTACAGCCAAAGGGGTTACTTTAATCGCAGAACTTTAGCATACAACAGTATACTAGTCTACACAGCAAAACAGATGGAAACAGCCCTGAACAATCACCCTTCAAGTACTTTTATACTGTGAACACGCTTGGGTCGTATTTTCTGGGAATCCAAAGTTCTCCTGGTTTCCTACTTATTCCTAGAGCTAGACTTCGTGTGTCAATATTTTCTATCTTCTTTGTCTTTCTGGCATAAACAACCGTTCCTATTGTGAAACTTGGCATATCTGTTCCAACGGTCAGGTCACCCTAACCCAGAAAGTTCTCCCTCATTTAACCTTCCAAGGTTTGACTTACGCACAAATACTCAAATTATCAAAACACCTCTTATGGGTCCTTTTTACTGCCAAATCTGATATTTGACCAGTTGCTTCCTAAACCTAGTGTAACTGACCTCATTTTTCACCTTTGGTATAAAATGATACATTATCTGCCTCTACATAGTCCCTCCTCTAGTATCGAATCCCACAGCAGTCCAAGCATTAAGTGGGATGGGCTAAAGGAAATTTTTGGAAAATGGGGAGCTGCTTTGGCTAAGACAGGGATAATTATACTGATAGTACTAATTCTGTTCTCCTTATTGACATGTTGCATCATGCCTATCCTGAAGAAATGGTGTGTGAGAGCAATGGACAAGAGGCTGAACCTCGTAACAGACATGCAGGTAGCACAAATGCTAAGTATGCTGACCCCTGAACAATTGGTGCGCAGAATTCTTCTGGCGCAGAGGAGGGAGGAAATACCAGATTTGTTCCCAATCCCTGATTACATGGACAATTCAAAGGACGAGGAGGAACTGTGAGAGAGAATGATGAACAATGGCTGACACTCATATTTATTTTCTGTATTCAGTTTTGTGTTTTGATTTTACAAGAGGAAAATGTATTAGCAATTTCAACTTAGCAAGTTATGCATATCATCCAAAATGATTTCTGTGATTCCATTATATTCTAATGAGTAAGTTGCATTCTACTGTGTTATGTATTTGATCAATCTGTTTAAGATTCACCTGTTAGTCCGCCTAACGCCGCCTTTCCTGGATTAAACAGCTGCCAGGTTTTTCGCCTCCATCAGTTGAATGTTGACAGATGATAAAATGTGTTCAGTGTTTGATGTAATATCACATACTCTTGTCAAGTTCATATATCACCATATCGTATGTTTTCTTATGCATCATCACATTCAAGTTTAAGAGTTTCGTACACGACCATATATTCATGTTAGTAAGGAACACTGGTTATAGTTACAGTGTCATATATCCTACTCATATTCATACAAGCATAGGCGTTCATTTACCATACATTATCTCTGCGAGTAATTTATGATAACATCATAAAGAGGAGGGACTATGTAGAGGCAGATAATGTATCATTTTATACCAAAGGTGAATTAATTTGGGACTTAATTTGAGTATTTGTGCGTAAGTCAAACCTTGGGAGGTTAAATGAGGGAGAACGTTCTGGGTTAGGGTGACCTGACCGTTGGAACAGATATAACAAGTTTCGCAATAGGAAAAGTTGTTTTTGCCAGAAAGACAAAGAAGATAGAAAATATTGATGCACGAAATCTAGCTCTAGGAATAAGTAGGAAACCAGGAGAACTTTGGATTCCCAGAAAATACGACCCAAGTGTGTTCACACAAACACACACACACACACACGTATATGAAAGAGCAGATGCCCAGTATAAAAGTACTTGAAGGGTGATTGTTCAGGGCTGTTTCCATCTGTTTTGCTGTGTAGACTAGTATACTGTTGTATGCTAAAGTTCTGCGATCAAAGTAACCCCGTTGGCTGTAACTTTTCTCCGAGGTTCTCAGAGTCTCTTCATTTCAGTGTTTGCTGAAATGAAGAGACTGAAAACACTGAAATGAAGAGACTCTGAGAACCTCGGAGTCTCTTCATTTCAGTGTTTGCTGAAGTTGAGCATTTTCCTTACAATATATATATATGTATGTATGTAAATATATATATATATGTGTGTATGTGTATGCATATACTTGCATGCAAGGTTTTTGTTTGGTATTCCCACCACTAGATGAATCAGTGCACTGTTTTAATACACTGCTAAAAAAAAGTTTGCCAACATTGAAACCTGTAGGTTTACGAAATAAATGGAAGATGGTGTTTAATGTGGCAAAGATGAAACTGTTAGGTTTAAGATAAAGTGCACAAGTTGTTCATGATAGGCGGGAAAAGAAGGTAATTTTGAATGTTTTGCCTTTTAGTTGTGACCAGGAGCTCCATGGTAGTAATGTGACATTCGCAAACGAACCGTCTTTGAACCGGCTCTTTGAAGTGAACGAGTCAGTTCCTAATTTAACCCACTATCCGCAAGCACTTGCTTGTATTGATAGACTTGTTTATAAAGGGTGTTGCTAAGGCTACATCAAACTTTATATCTGCAGAGTCTATTCTGGGTCAACGTTAGAATATCCAGATCACGTGATGCGAGAAATCAGCACGAAGCACACACACACACACACACACACACACACACACAGAGCAAAAAAACAACAACGAAGGAACGAACCACATCTTTGAACCAGCTCTTCAAAGTGAATGAGAGCCAAAGAAAAAATTTAAAAACAAAACAAACCAAAATTCAACAATTCTGTTTTTCGTTTCAAACAAAAAAACAAGAAAATAGAGCCATTTAAACTATTTTTGTTGCAGAATCAAAGCAGTCCATTTCTGGTTTATGGTGATCCCTTTTTCCTTTATTATTAAAAGATTTAAAAATGATAGTCATCTGTTTTGTTGTTTTTTTGTTTGTTTTTTCATTTTGAAACAAAAAACAAAATCACGTGGTGTATTTGTT